GTGAACTTAATCACACTTGGATGGATTTTACCTCCCCCCGCAACTTACTGCTCGTATGGAATCCACCATTACGGAACAGAAAGCTGAGTGCCCAAGCAGGATTTCCTAAGCAATTATCTAAAATTCACCAGAATGACTATCAGGCTGACTTAATTGTGGCCGCGTAAAGGCCTTCCCTGCTGTGCGGGTTCGACTCCCACCGACGCCGCGAGTTTTTTTACAATTAGGTCAACAAAATTCAATTGTTGGTTAAAGAGTGTGCATGGATATTTAAATGTGTTGAAAATGATCCAAGGATATTATATAAAACAGCAATTATAATTGTTTTAGTGAGCTAAATATAATATAATCCATCAGCGTAGTCTCCTGTTGCTCAGACAACTGATGTCTATTGATGGAAATTTGACCGAATATTGGCAAAATTTAACGGGAAAAAGAAACATCGGACTACTGAAAATGTAAAAGTGGTCTATTATTATGACAAGGGAGAGACAAATAAGACCTCTGAAGAGAGTCCTAGCGATAATCCAGATAAGAGTAAAACAGACCACGCCGCGCCTCCCAAACTTCTGAAAACAGTAAAGAAACAACAATTCCTAAAAAAGAAACCTTCCTGCGGCTTATAAATTAATATTAGACTGTTTAGAAATGCTCATGTTTTTAGGAAGGCAAAGCAGTGTTCAAAGAAGACAAACAAGAGGGAGAGAGGTACCTGCGTTTGAACCAGAGAAGACCCAGGACTCCACCGATGCCCAGACCCTCCTCGAGAACACGGCTTACAGGCATACCAGCGTAGAGCAGTTCTTGACCCCGATCATCGCAGATGGTCGAGGTAAAGCCGGCTGTGCGTCGTACCAGTCCGAGTTCCTTAAAGTGAGAGAAGCAGCATTTTAAATGTTCGAATTAAACAGCCTGTGCAAGGGGAGGGGGAATTGCGAAGTCACGGGCGAAACCGAGGTCGGAAACAGTCCTCCGCCGCGGTTAAACACAAACTCTGCGTGGAAGGAGGCCTTCATGCTTAGAGTAGTTGTGAAGAGGAAAGAAACGCGGTGAAATATGGACAGTTCAAGCGTCCTTGCTCACGATAGATGTAGAGACAGTGACTTATGTCGTAAATGTTAGCCAAAAAAGGCGAGATATCACCGTCTAAATAGGCCTTTTGTGAGACCCCAAGGAAGCAGACAAAAAGGAGAAGTAGAAGTCTTTAAGTATACCTAATACAGCGCACTTACGGCAAGCAAAGCGTACAGATTGGGCCAATCAGATTGTGGCCTCAGAAGAGGGGATAATATGCCAAGTAGCTTTTTGGCTGAACACTAATCACGAGCGACGGCTTGATCAATCTCATCACTCGCGCGGCTTGAACCGGTGGATAGTGTACGGTGGGACGAGTAATCAGGACAGCGTGATAACGAGTCTGTTAGGCCTGCCCCTAACAACTTACACATGAATTAGTGAATAGCGATAGTAGACTTGCAAAGCATCTACCCCACTCTTTCCCCACCCTCAACTGGGCCCAGTGTCATGACTGAGTCAAGAAGACCTGAAGCAGGAGAGGGCGCAGGTGGATGGCGTGGCCGGAGCCGCTCCCTAAGCGTGCAATCACACCTGGCTCGTGCCCCAGAGTGTGTTATCGGTGCAGTGGATCCCGTCACAACGAGATTATCCCCCTCCACCACCTCCGAAGATATACACATATAGAAGATTGAGAATGGGACTCCTACGGGGCCAGAAGAGTGGCAAGGCAAGTGAGGGGAACAAAAGGTAGCCAAATGAGCTTACCTTAGCCCAAGCGTAGTCCATCGGAACCGGGTTGGCAGGCCTATCAGGTTTCGGCACCAGCTTTCCCGCCTTGACTAAATCCTCAAAGACTTTTCTGCAATAGTATGAAACAGAGACAAAAAAGAGGGATTAAGATTAACAAGAGCGCTAGACCGGAGGAGTGCTGACTATGGTCCCTCAGCTGGTAAAGTTACTACTGATCAAATAGTACGAGCTGGTGAAATCGTTCAGCGACACAAATAACTACGGCATCCCGTCACAGGCCTTCATTGACTCAATGCATTGACTAAGGGGCTCTAGCCGTCGCCAATAAGTCGCCAGTTCAAGCGCAGAGTCAAAACACAGATACGGAACTCACACTTACAGACGGCAACAGTAGACGGAACTAAGTAGACAAACAGACTCTTCGAGGGGTTCTTTGCGCAGACCTGATAGTCAGAAAGAGAAAGGGAGAAAAATCTACCGTCTTTGTGGCAATGCAAGGTTCAAGGTTAGATACGCGTAATCGTGAGTTCAATGCAGATTTTGGAGCTGGGGCAACATTCGACTGATTGACGTTGATTTGGTAAACAACAAAGCAATTGTCATCAAAATCTACTACTACTACTTCTAGTATTTCCTCTACTAATAGTTTTATTATTATTACTACGACTACTAATATTACTACAAATACTACTACCACTGCTTATTCTACAACTGCTTCGACTACTAAAACTATCATTAGTTCTATTAAAACTGCTACTAATAACATCAATACAGTTTATTTTATTAATAGTTCAACTATTAGTACGACTACTAATATTACTAGAGCTACCACGGCAACTACAAGCCATATAACTTCTACCAATACTACTACTGCCTATACTAATGCGGCAGCATCCAGTGAGACAGCCAGTTCAGAGAAAGGACAGTTTTTTTAATGAAAAGTAGGGGTTTCACAATTATTATAAAAACCTTGAATGGAGACAACACCAAAAAGCCCCTCCTCGCGCTGCTACTGCTGACATTATTATTATTATTATTATTATTATTATTA